TCATTTTCCTGTGGGAGTACACTTTTCTGTACTTATCTGATATTTTTGGGTATTAAAGAAACCAGTCCTTGAGATAAGTTTTCATGACAATAATCGTGTAAGGACTGCCCATGACTTCTTGTCAACTAGGGACAGCAGCAGTACAGTGCAGTGGAAGGAGCAGTGTACATGGGATTTAGGTTCTGCTCCTACCACCATCTATCTGTCTTCTCTGGACTTTATCCATCTCACCAATAAAATGCGACTTATTGCTTTGCAGTTTTTCTCTGTTCTCTCACAACGTAGCTACCTGTGTATAATCACTTAATGTGCCCTATTGCTGATGCTTTTCCTTCTTTTTAACCTTGTTGACATTATTTAGCTGCCTCATATCTTCCAAATTTTTTTCAGAAATATTGACCTAAGGTTAAAAAATAATTTCTTTTCATCAATGCTGTTCATTACTTGTTCATTCATTTGTCATTTACTGAGCAGCACTGTCCTAGGAACTGGAGAACTAGAGACAAATTGATTGTCTGTCCACAGGGGTATGGTCTGTTGGAAGAGAAAAGCAATTATAATACAGAATGGTAAGTGTTATGATAGGCAAGGAGATCCCGATGGGAGAGAGAAAAGAACTACTGGATGAGACCATGAAAGCAATGTTTTAAAGAATGAGTAGACACTGACCAGCAAAGATAAAAAGTTGCTGCGATGAGAGATTGCAGGTCACTGTTAGGGATGAGGGCTCTGTGAGGAGAAGCGAGGGAGGCAGACAGCACGTACAACACACTACGTAGCTTGGATTTTTTCTTGAAAGGAGGGGGAGCCCCATAGAGAGTCTAGTGAGGAGGAGGGATGTAATGAGACATGCACTGGAGAAGTCAGGTTGCATGTCTGTGTGGTGGGAAAGCGAGAGGGAATGTTGATTCTGGAGACTGTTTTGAAAGCCATTACAATAACCTAGGAAGGAATGGTGAGTGGCAGTGAGGAGTGAGGAGCAAATTCAGACTCCAGAAACATTAAGTAGGTTGAATTACAGGGACTTGGAGAAGAATTGGAGGAGGACGGGTACTTGGCCACTTAATGTGTCATTTATGGTAATTAAAAGCCACTCTTCTACGTGTAAGTAGATGGCAAATGTTGCCCTCAGGACCCACAGTGCCCCTTTGATGATGGCATCTGGATATTGATTTTTTAAATTTAATTTAATGTAATTCAACATAATTTAATTTTAGAGACAGGGTCTTGCTCAGTTGCCTAGGCTGGAGGGCAATAGCGCAATCATAGCTCATTGCAGCCTTAAACTCCTGGGCTCAAGTAATCCTCCTGCACAGCCTCTCGAATAGCTGGGACTACAGGTGCATGCCACCATACCCAGCTAACCTTTAAAAGTCAGGTTCTCTCTGTGTTGCTGAGGCTAATCTTGAACTCCTGTCCTGAAGGGATCCTCCCACCTTGGCCTGCCAAATTGCTGGGATTATAGACATGAGCCACTAACAGTTGGCCTGAGATATTGATTTTATTTTTATTTTAGAGAGAAAGACAAAGAAGCATCAAGAAGTTATGGCACTTTGTGACCATGACACATTATGTTTTAGGAAGAGTAATTGACAGTAACATGGTTTTGAGAGAGAGGATCAGAGGCAGGGAGGCCAGTTAGTGAACCATTTTGAGACTAAAGTAATAAGATGAGACAAAGTGGTGGCACTGCTTTAAATGAATGACTACAACATGTGCAGGAAGGGAAAACTGACATCACTGGGTGCAGTGACAGAGTCCTCACTCAGGTCTGCAAATTGATTCCGATATCTTGAATAATGTAAATTACCTTTGTGATATAGAAATACAAATGCTTAGATATATTTTGCCTATCTGACTAAAAGTATCTATCAAGTCTGGGTAACCAAGTTATAGCTCAAGAAAGTAAAATTCCCTTTAACAGAAATGTCTGTCTAGAGAACCCATGTCAGGTGAATCACAACGACAAATC